TCTCCTCCTCTTCCTCCTATTCCTACCCCTCTCCCCTGCTCCCTCTCCGCCCTCTCCCCTCTCCCACCTCTCCCCTTCTTCTCTCCCCCCTCTCCCTCCTCTCCTCCTCCTCTCCCCACGCTGAACCCGCTTTCTCTCTGGCGAGACTCTTGCAAGCGACCTACGGCAATATTCGGAGCAGGAGATGCAGCGGCCAGCAGCAGGAGGGAACATTTGACTTGACGAACTTCGGTGGGCGCCGGCAGGAGGTGCGCTTTCGCGTCCCGCGTACGTGGCGAGGAGGCGAACGAATCGGACACTGAAGCAACCGCCGTCTGCATAAGTGTCTGTAAAAACACACGCACACCACACACGCGCACCACTGGCACGCGCACAGTGCACCCTGCTCTTCTTCTCTCTCCTCTCTCTTCTCTCTCTCTCTCTCTCTTTCTCTCTCTCTCTCTCTTTCCTCTCTCTCTTCTCTCTCTCTCTCTCTATTCTCTCTCTCTCTTTCTCTCTCTTCTCTTTCTCATCTTTGCTCCCTCTTCTCTCTCTCTCTCTTTCTCTTTCTTTCCTCTTTCCTCCTCTCTCTCTCATCTCTCCTCACACCACACACACACACACACACACACACACACACACACACATCACACACACACACACACACTAACACTAACACTAACACACACAAAATACACCCTCCTCTTCTACTCCTCTTTCTCACATACATACACATACAACGCATCACACACACTTACTCTCTCTCTCCCCCTCCCCCTCCCCCTCCCCCACCCCCACCGCCCCGTTACTCACGCGAGCATGCGGGGAACGTGAACGGATCGTTGGGATGCTGTGGGTCCCAGCTGCCCTCGCGTCCGCACGCGTAGAATGGCGGAGGCAGGCTCGGGAACGCGTAGTTCATCGGGTCAAGGCAGGTGATGACGGCGAAGCGACCGTAGTCCCACTCGCTGAAGGCGGCGAGGCCGTACTTGGGTGCCGCCACTTTCTCGCAGTAGAAACCTGGTAGAATAATAGAACAGTGTGTCAGTGTGTGTGTTGTATGTTCTCAGAATGCGGGGGGAGGGTAGGGGAAGGGGGGTAGTGGGGATGGTGACGATGATGATGGCAAACTTGGGCGCCGCCAGTTTCTCGCAGTAGAAACCTAGTAGAACAATAGAACAGTAGTAGTGGGGGCGGGGGAGGAGGGGGAGCGTGTGTGTGTTGTATGCTCTCAGAATGCGGGGGAGGAGCAAGAAAAGTATGGAATACAAAACACGTAGAGCATGGAATACAGAACACAATGAGCATGGAATAATAGGATGAAGACCATGGAATACGGAACACGGAGAGCATGGAATGCAGACGACATAGAGCATGGAATAGAACACAAGGATCATGAAATACAGAACACGTACAGCATGAAATACAGAACATAATGAGCACGGAATAGAACACAAAGAGCATGGAATACAGAGCATGAATAACATGGAATGCAGACCACATAGAGCATGGAATACAGACGACGAGGAGCATGCAATACTTACGCAGCACGTAGACGGTGAAGGTGCATATAGCTGTGTTGTTGGCGGCGTCGTAGGCGACGTAGGTGACAGTCGTCTCCCCGTAACTGAACAAGTCGCCTGCAACGAGAGGGAGCCACCTTACAGACAATCCCGCGACATGATGGAAATGACATAATAGATACCATGTATATACGTCATATATATTTATGCGGTATCTATGCTAGATACTATCAAGGGTGTGATAAGAACAGTTAAAATATTAATAATAATAATAATAATAATAATAATAATATATGCGCTGGCCAGCGGCCATAGACTAGGAAGCACTCACTAGAGGGCGCTCACAAATAGATGTGCTCGCCAGAAGGCACACAGGCATGAAAACACTCACCAGAGGGCGCTCACAAATGAATGTGCTCGCCATAGGGCACGCAGACCACAGAGAGGCACTCACTAGGGGGCGCTCACCCGTGGGTACGCTCGCTATGGGAGGTACTCACCAGGGGGCGCTCACCCGTGGGTACACTCGCTATAGGGGGCGCTCACCCATGGATACGCTCACCAGGGGGCACTCACCCGTGGATACGCTCACCAGGGGGCACTCACCCNGCAGTATCAGCAGTAGCAGCAGCAGCAGCAGTATCAGCAGTATCAGCAGCAGCAGCAGCAGCAGTATCAGCAGTATCAGCAGTATCAGCAGCAGCAGCAGCAGCATCAGCATCAGTATCAGCAGCAGCAGCATCAGTATCAGTATCAGTATAAGCAGCAGCATCAGCATCAGTATCAGAAGCAGTAGTAGCAATAGTAGCAGTAGTAGTAGCAGCAGCAGTATCAGCAGCAGCAGCAGCAGCAGCAGCAGTAGCAGCAGCATCAGTATCAGTATCAGCAGCAGCAGCAGCAGCAGCAGCAGCATTAGCAGCAGTATCAGCAGTAGCAGCAGCAGCAGCAGCAGCAGCATTAGCAGCAGCATTAGCAGCAGTATCAGCAGTAGCAGCAGTATCAGCAGCAGCAGCAATAGTAGTAATAGTAGTAGTATCAGTATCAGCAGTATCACTAGTAGCAGTAGCAGCAGCAGCAGCAGCAGCAATAGCGGGGTAACCTATTCCGGGGGTTAGGAAATAGGATTAGGTATAGATGTGGTTAACTGGTTATAACTATTAGGTTTGCAATAAGGTTGTGGTTGAGGTGAGGTGAGTACGGGGTTAATTAGATGAGAATGAGGTTAGGAACTAACTTCACAATGAAGGTCTGCATTAGAATGACCTTAAAGGTTAACGTTAGGGTTACGATTAGTGTAAGGTTACGGATTAAGTAGGATCAGGATTATAAAGGGTTAGGGTTAGGGTTAGGTATTGAGTTAGACTTAGAGTCGGGAGGGGGCGGGGGGTAGCTTCCAACAGTACATCGCCAAGCACAGGGCCGTAGCCTCTGGGAGGGGGGGGGGTAAGGGGGGCAAGTGCCCCCCCTAGATTTTGGAGCAAAATTAAAAAATAAGCTGAGCTAATAATCGTAAATAATTCTAACGTGATTTTTCTGGTCACATATCCGTGAAAGCGTTGTCTCAGACCCACCTCTACCACACTATAGGGACGTCGATCAAGAGCTGCGCCCCTCGCTCATCATTACACAGTTGAGTCATAAAATTTTGCCCCTCCCCTAGGAATTTGCTCAGCCTGTGGCCCTGAAGCTAGGGTTAGGGTTAGGGTTAGGTTTACAGTAAGGGTTAGGCTTAGGGTTAGGGTTAGGGTTAGGGATAGGCATTGAGTTAGACTGGGAGTCGCGCGGGTAGCTCCCTACAGTAGATCGCCAAGCAGCACTCACCGTCGGGGTGGTCACAGTAGGTTCCGGCCCAGCCTGGCGGGCAGTCCGACGATCCACACAGGCCTGGCTTCTTCACCTGCACGTCCTTGAACCTCACTGGCGGGTCTTCAAACTCAGGCCACAGTATCAAGTCGCCTGCGTGATAGAGAGAGAGAGCGAGGTTAATGAGGAGAAGGTGAGGGCTGGTGGGTGACTGTCTCTCTCTGTCTCTCTCTCTGTCTCTCTCTCTGTCTCTCTGTCTGTCTGTCTGTCTTTCTCTCTCTCTCTGTATCTCTCTCTCTCTTTCTCTTTGTCTCTCTCTCTTTCTCTTCCTCTCTCTCTCTCTCTCCCCCCTCTCTCTATCTATCTATCTCTCTCTCTCTCTCTCTCTCTCTCTCTCTCTCTCTCTCTCTCTCTCTC